CCATTTTCAGGAACTCAAGGTACCAGGTCATTTGCATAATCATCACATTTATTCATTTATCAATAACTATCCTACAACATACATGTATACAGAAAAATGTCATATCCATTCCAAGTAATTAATAAAAGATTCTGGTAATATTGGTTTTGATCAAACTTCGCTAATCATCATTAATAAAGAGAAATCAATACAAATTTAGATTCCAAGAACGTTTACTTAACGTTTGTTCAAAGGGGAATCACTCTACCGAAAATCACATAATCATCACACTTGTACATATGACCCAACAATAACATTTCTTGTAACACTACATAGTATATACATGTCAAAGTTTCTGTGACCATCAAAAACATTCAGTACATATATAAGATAGAGCTGTCCATGGTAAGAAAGGAGTGTAGGAATAATAATTATAATAATAATAACAGGCAAAGCCTCGGGTCTCCTGCTCAATATTGTCTTCCTTTGGGTTATCCTTATCCTTATCCTTACCTCACATTAGGGATGGATTCAATTTTTTGCTTTTTACCTAAAACCCGTATGTAAACTGTCCGCACAGTTCTCATTTGCATATGCAGCACGGATGGCAATTGTTAATGACGTCAATGACCCTGACTGACCCCAAAACGTCATAGAATGACGTCACGAACAATAGCGTGACACCGAAAGGTTACTATAATTCCCCCGCCAGTCTGCGCGTGTAAGCGATCCAGACCCGTTGGTCGGATAGAATTTTCCAGCACCGCCGGAAATGTGGATATCTCGGTCTAGTATTTCTATCTTACACCCCATTTCACGTGACGTGACGTCACAATGGCTCAACAATGACGTGTCGTCACAAATTTAGAAAACACCGATGCCGCAATGCGGAAAAGGCAATGTGATGGAATTAAAACCTTTAACGATATTTTTACCGAACACATTAGAAAGATGATATTATTTTTTTCTGCGCAACCTATTGGATATGATAAATTTTGCTGAAGAGTTCGTTTTCGTCAAAAAAGTTCAGGGGAAAATTTAATATTTTCAAAATGGTAACCAGTCCACACGCATTTTTATGGTTTCTGAGATTATTCTGGTAGTTGGAATGAGAGAAAATACTCTTTCATGCTCAAGGGTGTAGGATAAGGAAATTCCACCCTCGGGTTTTTCAAATTTGGCAAAACCCTCGGGTGGAACTACCCTATACTACACCCCTGAACATGAAAGAGTCTTATAATATCACTGAAAACTTATGATCCTTGCTTATACCCCATGTAATACACATCAGTTCCAAATAACGAATGTGTAATAGAAGAACTCAAATGGAGTCTATCACAATACACGGGCACATCCGGGCGTTTTAAAACCTGCACGCGACTACAATCGTCATAAATCACGTGATATGTACAACAATTTGTCTGTCCCCATATAGCGTAGTTAAAAGGGGGGCCAGTTTTCTTGATCAATTCTCTGTTGAAATCCCAGTTCCCGTTTTGGAACCCCTCAAAGTTTCCCTTACTGTTAGTCTGGTGGATGGCGGAAATGACGGATGAAGCGTCAATCGTCACGAACCCCCTAAAGCGAGCATATGCAATTATCCAGTTGTCATAACCAACTCTTCCAATCACCAACTTGGGCACTTCACTCCAAGGAAAGAAACTGTTTGTTATAAAATAATCTATCGCGTTTTTCTGGAACCGTGTATAGATCGTATAGGACTCTCGCAGTATTGTTTTCCAAGCTTCCGGTCCCTTGCTATCTATTGATAAAATATTGATATTCGTTCGTTGACCAACTATTAAAACTGGTTTTTTATGCAAATTATTCGATTTTAGAAACACCTCAACAATTGATAATATTTCGATGAGATACCTGTCAAACAATATATCCGCGTTGGCATACATATACAAATACGTATCAGATCCTTTTACAGATTCCAGAAAGAGTGTGCTTAATGCAGGTGCTTCCGTCACGGCCTCAGTTGTAATGTTTTGAACTGGCCAATCAGAGTTGATCCCTGCCGACGCCACCTTTTGATCGTCGGTAAATAGAATTAATTTCGGGGAATTATACATATGCTTCCAATTTCGTAATGTGTTCAGATTAATATCGAATTTATTTTTTACAAACGGAAAAGTTGTGAACATGGTAACACTAGTAACATGATCCGTCCCACTTTCTGTTGAGCAGTTGCTAGGGGACGTGAACTCGTGTTTTGGTCGACAGTTCAATGGGAACGTACATAAACTGCGCACTGCTCTCGGCATGATGTATAAATTTCCAACCACTATGACCATCAACAGCACTGAAAACACACTCGAGTATAACGACTTAAATCCATGAAGTTTACTGCAACTCTTCATCTTCATTTTCCTCTGAAGCATTACTCAAACTGTTTACCATAAATTTACGAGAAAAAGGTCTAAGTGTAGATTTTTGACAAATAGCTTTGAGCCACGATCTGCAGAGTTATATAGTCATTGTACAAGTAACATTTCATTTTTTTATATGGCACGAAACACGATCATTTGTTCGCTCCAGCTTATCATTTTCACATTATTTCAACGATGATTCGAACGCCGTTGATGTTGAGTTGATATGTACGCAATCCAATATAATATATCTTCCTTCTGTTGTTGTTTAAATCGCTTACCTTGCTAATTCACATTACATTAAAACATGCAAGAGCGTTAAACGGCTTCATTGTAAACACATGTGTCTTTAATACAACACTCCAACAGAAAGCAGACTCGTCACTTTCCCGCGTATTCAATATTTCTTACACAATGTCTTCAGTGACATGCTGTTTTGTCGCTATCATCATCCGTAAGGACTCGTGTACGGATCATGTTAAATCGCCGTGTTTGATACACCTATTGTTGACGTGCTGTACACCTATCCATTTCTAATGTCTGCTGTGGATCAGAGCTGACGAGAACGTAATCTGTGTGACCCTGTAAATAAAACAACACAAACTTAAAATCCCTGTTTCGAAAACGTTATTTTGAAAAGCAGGAAAAACAAACGTTTTTTGTCTCTAAAAATCTTTTTTTTTTTTTTTAAACTTACCACATAGACAACATGTTAAATGTATAAAAATTACACTTGGAGAGCAATTGTGTGGTTGTGTTCTGAGGTAAACAGTTTATAATTATGTGCCTGGTACCTGTTAATTGGAGGAATGCCATCTTGTTCCTTAATTATTTACCGCAGTAAACTTTTTTACAAGAGGCCCAAGAGGGCCTGTATCGCTCACCTGAATATTTAAGCAGTCATAGCAAAATATTCTCATAAAATATTATATTGCACTAAAAATATTTCCCTCGCAAACTTTGTTGGCACCATCTGTTGAAACTACCAGCAAAATGTTATTATAAGATTCTATGCTTTTTGATTCTTCTTCAGAAGTTGCTTGCCATATTTTTCCCTGTGATCTTGAAAGTAGGTCAATGTCATTTTCCTTCTCAAATTGGTTAGCTCTATTCCAAAAAGCTACCAGCCAAATCTTATGAATCCATTCCTTTTAGTTCTCAAGAACAAATCCATTAAAATGTTGTTAACCTCTGTGACCTCGAAAGTAGGTTGAGGTCATTTTCATTTGCAAACTTTGGTGAGCTCTATCCTGGGAAGTCACCAGCCAAATATTATAATTTTATGCCTTTTAATTCTTCAGAAGAAGCTGTTTGAACTGTTTGACATATTTGAACGCTGTGACCTTGAAAGTAGGTCAAGGTCATTTTCATTCGCAAACTTTGTTTGGCTCTTTCCCAGGAAGCCACCTGCCAAATACAAAGATTCTATACCTTTCAGTTCTTCAGAAGAAGTCGTTTGAAGTGTCTGACACATTTGACTCCTGTGACCTTGAAAACAGGTCAAGGTCATTTTCGTTCTCAAACTTTGTAGTGCTCCTTGAGAAGTTTTTGAAAGGAAAAGTTGACGAACGAGGACGGACGGACGGACAGACGGACGGACGACGGACGCCGCGCCACGGCATAAGCTCACCTGGCACGAAGTGCCAGGTGAGCTAACAATGCCACTTGTGTATTAATGTTTGGTGTTATCAAGGAATTTGTGTGATACAGTGACAGTAATTCGAGGAAGACTTATAAAGGTTCTTGACATTTGCTTATAGTAAATAGTAATGGCAAGTAAAACAAGGTAACTGTGGAACATACTATAATTAACCGTAACACGTGGAATGAGACGTTGTTAGTATTGATGAAATTTATTAAACATTTGTGAGAAATTGATGCATAAGAACCAATAATTTATCATATCTAGTTGACCTATGAGTGCAATAAAACATCACGGATTGCATGAAGTACTGCATTACTGAGACCAAGGGGAATACGTCTATCAACAATGGTGCGATCATTGGGGCTACCTCACTCCATTGATTCAGGAGACATAACTCTATAAAAAGTCGGACAAAAGTGGTTGTCCTATTTGCCTGAGCGTTCATAGTAATTAACCTTCCTATGAAGTTTGAAGTCAATCAATTGGAAATAACTCCGGGTATTGAGTGTTCATTGTGCTGTCCCGTCCGCAGCAAGTGGAGTAAAGTATCTTGCTCAAAGATACAACACAGTGCCGTGCCGTGACTCCAACCCGGAACCCTTCGGTCAGGAGCCCGGCGTCCTACCACTAGACTACCGTGCCATGATATCGAGTGGACACTGATTCAGCAATTAAAAAGGGCATAACTCTGTCAATTACAGTCAAATAATGTTGGTTATCGATCTTGTCCGAGCTCTCATGGTGATGAACTTTCGAATGTAGTTTGAAGCTACTCCATTGAAAAAACTCCAGATATCGAACGTACATTGTGCTGTCCCGCCCGCAGGTTAACATACAAATGTATTACGTCCTGTCTTCCGACGGGCGTATGAAAAGGGGGAATTATATCGAGGTTAACTGCACATATATAACAAACAGGAAAACCATTATAAATGCAGGCCTTATATGTTCTACCAAAGATGGAACCAAATCCATGAGACTATAACAAAATTTGCTATTGTAACGTCATAAATCTCTATTGTGACGTCATTAATTTCATTGTAGTCAAGAGTTACTTTGCAGTTCGCAATAGCTAAATAAAGCGTAACTACTCTTTCAAAATGTAAATATAAATAATGAATATTTTAGCTGGTATTGTTATGGTCCTATAACACACATTGCTATTGCTGACAAACTTACATAGTTTGTTATCAATAGCAATGTGTGTTATAGGACCATAACAACATTTGCGAAAATATTCATTGCTTAAGTATTCTCATTAAATATCATACTGTACTACAAATATTTCCAAATAGTGGCTCTGTCTGTCAGCAACACCCTTATCTTATTGGGTTCCATCCCTCTATCCCGATTGGGGTGGGGGCATTGTTTATACAAGATTGAATCACAGTTGGTCTAGAAATCAAATTATATCTAGATAAAGATATAGGTTATATTCAAAGCAATCTGTTACAATATTTTAGCACAATTTACCATAGTGACCCTGAAAGTCTAAAAAAGTCATTCTGCCCTGCAGGTAGGGCGTAAGAATTGTACCTGCTGCCCCCAATTGCAGGATCGTAAGAGGCGACTAAATTTGGGACCTTGTCTCTTCTCTCCTTTCTAAATAACTTTCTTTTTCCTAATGTCTCCCTTGACAATGCCTCACTTTTGGCCATTTGTTGAGCGTTCGCCCCTGTGAGGAAGGCTTTGGGTTCTGTCCCCTGGCCGAGACATACCAAAGTCTTTAAAAATGGCAGTTTCTACTCCTGCTTAACGCTCAGCAAATTAGGAGTGGGACGACTGGTTCGCCCGTTGTCAGTATAATGTGACCGGGTGGGGCGTCCTGCTGGGTGTCTTCGGCAGTATGTTTCAGTGAGGTAGCACTATAAAGTCGGCATCAGTTCCGCGCTATTACAAGAAGACAAACACGAACATATCGCAGCCTCCCAAAATACACACACATACACTACACGCATGCATCTTGCACACAGGGGAGGCCGTCCTTAAATGACCTTAGCTGTTAATAGGACGTTAAACAAAATCAAACAAACAAACAAACAAACAAACATTCAGCTGAGAAAAAAATGGAAGTCCTTAATCCCAAATATCTTCACCCTGTGGCTCTTAGTTATAAAGAAATGCTATTGAAATATTTTACATTTTGTAACACATGTGATCCCTATGACCTTGAAAGTAGGTTAAGGTCATTTTCATTCCAAAACAACTTGTTAAATACAACGACTCTATGATTTTCAGTTTTTTTCAAAAGATGCCGTTTGAAGTGTTTGCTATTTTTGACCCCTTTGGCCTTGAGAGTAGGTTGAGGTCATTTTCAATTGCAAATTTTAACGGGCTCCAAACGTGGAAGCTACCAGCCAGATATTATCATGTGATTCTATGCTTTTCGAATCTTCAGAAGAAGTCGTTTGAAGTGTTTAACATTTTTGTTCCTGCGACCATGTAAGTAGGTCAAGTCCATTTTCATTCTCAAACCTTGCCGGGCTCTTACCCAAGAAGGTTCCAGCAAAATAATATAGTTCTATACATTTGGATTATTCAGAAGAAGTCGTTTGAAGTGTATAACATATTTGACCAATGTACTCTTGAAAGTAGGTCAAGGACATTTTCATTCGCCAAATTTTCAGTCTTCATCCTAAGAAGCTATCAGCCAAATATTATGATATTATGCCTTTCAGTAAAGAAGAAGTCGTTGAATTGTTTAACATATTTTACCACCACGACATTGAAAGTAATCATTTTCATTGGCAAACTTTGTCAGACTCTATTCCAAGAAGCCACCAGGCAATATTCAGAAGAAGTCGTTTGCTGTGTTTTTATATTTATATTTATAGTTGACCCCTGTGACATTGAAAGTAGGTCGAGGTCATTTCCATCCTCAAACGTGGTAGTGTTCAATCCCAATAAGCTACCAGCCAAATATTATGATTACATAACCTTCATTTCTTCAGAAGAGGTTGTTTAAAGGAAAAGTTGACGGACAGTTGACAGAAGTCGCTCCAAGACACAAGCACAATATCCCTTCGGGCAGGTAAGCTAAAAATCAGCGAATGCACAGTCAAACAAATTTTGTCTACACACAGACTGACGAACGGATGACAGACGCCGTGCCACGGCAAAACTCGCCGGTCCTGGATCAAGGGTGCTAAAAATCAAACTTAAACGGAAAGAAATATAAAGATTAATATGAATTTTGCAGATCAATAAGATCATTTGTTTTACATCTAAAAATCACTGGACAGCCGTGTCTTCTATTCGACTTCATACTTGGACTGCTAATTAGTTTTTGACAAGTTCTGCGTGATGTGCAAGCTTCCACACTAAGTACTGTCCCTGTGGCATCAACAGATCGATAGCTGGTTGTCGATCACACATGGCAAAGCTCAACAGTCTTGTAGACAGCAGCGTAACACAACAAATCACCAGCTTTTGAGCACACAAAGCACATATAATCGCCTTTTAGAAAAACAACCACGTGTCGATACTCGAAAGAGATCAAACGTTTGTGGTTGATTTCAAATACTGCTAATAAACCGAAGCTAACTGATCGTGGACAATTACATGTAAATTCCATAAACTGACAGATTACAAAATATTAGTCACAATGAATACCATTATTTAACAAATTGTACATCAAAATACTATAACAAAGTACATGTACAGTGTATGTAAAATAGTTGATTTTCCTTAAGTTTTACTACTGTATTGTGTATATTTGTTGATATTGTAACAAGAGCGTAACTCTATATCAATAAATACATCTAGATTTGAAGCAGTTGGGATTGAAAGCGGAGTATATCAATGAATATTATAACGAACACGCGTGATAAGGAAATAGAAGACATCCGTACAAGGAATTCCACGCTGCATTCACAATTACATCTGGGTTTCCATTGCTTCTATGTGCATGGTAGATCGTCCGTTATGTGGAATTTAA